TAAATATATATATATATATATATTTTTTTTTTTTTTTTTCATTATTATTTTTATTTATTTATTTATTTTTAATCAACATATGTACAGATTTTTTAAATCAAGCTTTTTATATATATATATATATATATATATATATATAAAAATAAAAAAATAATAATAATTTTATATATATATATATATATACACACAAACATACAGTAAGTATTAAAAAAAAAACAATAGTTACAAAAAAGAATGCATATATGAAATTCCCAATGACTTTGACATTTTCTTCACACATTTCTCATGTGATGCCTTAAATGAGTTCTACTATTGTACTGATGTCATACTGTCCACCACTATACAAAATCTTTAAACTTTTTTTCTTTTTTTTTTTTAACTTTACGTCTATCAAAATTATACATGCCCACACATGCACATAAAAAAAAAAATAAACGAAAAAAAAAAAAAAAGTGTATATATATATATAATTAATTAAAAAAAATAATAATAATAATTAAAAAAATTATATTTATATGCATATATAAAATTCCCATTGACTTTGATATTTTCTTCACAAGTCTCTCATAGAACGGTTCATTGAGGAAATGTGTAGATAATATAACAACACACATGACTACACACATGACTGCACACATGACTACACACATGACTGCACACATGACTACACACATGACTACACACAGGTGATGTATCCGAACATACTCAGGATGGGGGAGGGACTTATTACAAAGGGAAACATTGGTACTTTTAAATGTTCATATTATTTTCTATGTGATGCCCTAAATGAGTACTACTGTTGTATGGATGTCGTACTCTCCACCACTAGACAAAATCTCTAAACTTTTTTTTTTTTTTTTTAAACTTCTATAAAAATGACACATGCACACACACATAAAAAAAATATCATTAAAATATATATATATATATATATATATATATATATATACACTGTATATACACATACATTATTAAATAATAATAATTACAAAAAAATGCATATATGTAATATATATATATATATATATATATATATACACACACACTGTATATACACATACATTATTAAAAATAATAAATAATAATTAGAAAAAAATTAATATTTGAAATTCCCATTGACTTTGATATTTTCTTCACACGTCTCTCATAGAACGGTTCATTCAGGAAATGTGTAGATAATATGACTACACACATGACTACACACATGACTACACACATGACAACACACATGACAACACACATGACTACACATGACTACACACATGACTACACATGACAACACATGACTACACACATGACTACACACATGACTACACACATGACAACACACATGACTACACACATGACTACACACATGACTACACACACGACTACACACATGACTACACATGACTACACATGACTACACACATGACTACACACAGGTGATGTATCCGAACATACTCAGGATGGGGCCGGGATTTATTACAAAGGGAATCATTGGTACTTTGCATCGTTTTGTTGGACTCGGAAAGAAGAACCCAATAGAAAAAAACTGCTCAGAATTTTTTTAAAACTGGAGTCCTGGCGAGCGTTGGGCCCCGCCTTCTCTCCACTGATCCCTGCTGAGCAGGCGGATGATTGGTCGGTGTTCGCTCCGGTGCTGCAGCCCGCTGTCTTCTATGGGGCAGTTGGATGGAGATGGACTGTTTGTCTGTTTCCTCCTGACTATCATCCGATCCGCCAAACGGATAAGGAATGGATCCCCATCTGTCTGTTTTTAGCATACCGGATCGGATGATGGACACCCACCGCTCCATAGATTGCTATGGATGGTCCAATCGGGTCTGCCTGAAAAACTGAGAGGCGGACCTGATCGGACCCTCAGTGTGAAAGGGGCCTAAAGATTCGGATATTGAATCTATTCTAAGACATAAAAAGTCGAAGAAAAATGAAAATGAAATAACATCACTAACATTCTAAAGCTGGGAGTCTTAACCTGGGGTCCATGGGTGGGTTCAGGGGGTCCCTGAGAGCAAAAATAAAAACATAACATTTATTTTCATTAAAAAATACAGAAAATACAAAATATAAACAAACAAAACAAAAAACATCAAGCAAAAATATAAGTGACGAATACAAAATAAAAAATGTAGAAAACAGAAATATAAAAAAGGCACTACTGTAACCAAATCTGTGTAATCGTATCAATAAAAAAAAAAAAGAATACAAAAAATAATAAACAAAACAAAAAATATCAAGCAAAAATATAAGTGACGAATACAAAATAAATTTAGAAAACCGAAATATAAAAAAATGCCGCTACTGTAACCAAATCTGTGTAATCGTATCAATAAAAAAAAAAAAGAATACAAAAAATAATAAACAAAACAAAAAATATCAAGCAAAAATATAAGTGACGAATACAAAATAAATTTAGAAAACCGAAATATAAAAAATTGCCGCTACTGTAATCAAATCTGTAATCGTATAAATAAAAAAATACAGAATACAAAATATGACAAACAAAACAAAAAAAATCAAGCAAAAATATAAGTGACGAATACAAAATTAAAAAAATGTAGAAAATAGAAATATAAAAAAATGGCCCTACCGTAACCAAATCTGGGTAATCGTATCAATTAAAAAAAAAAAGGATACAAAATATAACACAGACAAAAAAATATTAAGCAAAAATATAAGTGACGAATACAAAATAAAAAAATGTAGAAAGCAATGTAAAAAAAAAAAAACGACCAAACCGTAACCAAGTCTGTGTAATCGTATAAATTAAAAAATACAGAATTCAAAATATGACAAAATAAAAACATCAAGCAGAAATATAAGTGACGAATACAAAATAAAAAAATGTAGAAAACAGAAATGTAAAAAAAAATGGCCCTACCGTAACCAAATCTGTGTAATCGTACAAATTTAAAAAAAAAGGATACAAAATATAACAAACAAATATCAAGCAAAAATATAAGTGACAAATATAAAATAAAAAAATGTAGAAAGCAGAAATATAAAAAAATGAGGCTACCGTAACCAAATCTGTGTAATCGTATAAATTAAAAAATACAGAATACAAAATATGACAAACAAAATAAAAAACATCAAGCAGAAATATAAGTGACAAATACAAAATAAAAAAATGTAGAAAGCATAAATATAAAAAATGAAAATGTTTAAAATAAAAATATAAAAAAAAAAGTATAAAATAAACATTGTTAGTAAATAGAGGAAATTATTAAGCGAATTAATTACATTTTTTTCCGTTAATGGAGAGCAGAAGAAAGACACAAAGCAGCTTTATAAATAGGTAAAAAACATTGGTGCTGTTTTGTGACGTAAAATATTATTTATAACTCGCCCCTCCCCCCCCCGAGCTGATGTGTGGCTGGTATCTGTAGTTCTATCATAGCACGAGGTGCCCCCCCCCCCCCCCACACAGATGGGCTCCTCTCCCTCCTACCATGGTGTCAGTCATGTGATGTGGAATAATTTGTCGCTGTTTATGAATCGGGTGACACCGCCGTGCGCAGAGGCTGATCTGATCTCCGGCTTCACGGATACATTGTATCATTAACACAACAGGAAGCGTGACTCCCGGAGAGCCGGCGCAGCGAGGATGGCGGAGTCAATGGCGAGGAGCCGCGGGGGGTCATTACGTGTAATCGGCGCAGGAGATGAGGAATCACAATGTTTATTATAACAAACAGGAAGCCGGGGATAAACATACCAATATTAAAGGGGGACTCCAGGCCGACGCGGTTCATTCTGCAAATCTGCCAAAGAGTTCCGCTTGATGACAATAATCTTCTCATTTATCTTTTTCTGAGTATTGTAATAGATTTCTTCGATCTAATTAGTAACTGAAGGTGGCTCTAGGCCTGCGCCCTCCAATGTCTGAAGGTGACTCTAGGCCTGCGCCCTCCAATGTTCGAAGGTGGCTCTAGGCCTGCGCCCCCCAATGTACGAAGGTGGCTCTAGGCCTGCGCTCTCCCATGTCCAAAGGTGACTCTAGGCCTGCGCCCTCCAATGTCCGAAGGTGGCTCTAGGCCTGCGCCCTCCAATGTCTGAAGGTGGCTCTAGGCCTGCGCCCTCCCATGTCCGAAGGTGACTCTAGGCCTGCGCCCTCCAATGTCCGAAGGTGGCTCTAGGCCTGCGCCCTCCCGTGTCCGAAGGTGACTCTAGGCCTGCGCCCTCCAATGTCCGAAGGTGACTCTAGGCCTGCGCCCTCCAATGTCCGAAGGTGGCTCTAGGCCTGCGCCCTCCCATGTCCGAAGGTGGCTCTAGGCCTGCGCCCTCCAATGTCCGAAGGTGACTCTAGGCCTGCGCCCTCCAATGTCCGAAGGTGGCTCTAGGCCTGCGCCCTCCCATGTCCGAAGGTGGCTCTAGGCCTGTGCCCTCCAATGTCCGAAGGTGGCTCTAGGCCTGCGCCCTCCCATGTCCGAAGGTGGCTCTAGGCCTGCGCCCTCCAATGTCCGAAGGTGGCTCTAGGCCTGCGCCCTCCAATGTCCGAAGGTGGCTCTAGGCCTGCGCCCTCCAATGTCCGAAGGTGGCTCTAGGCCTGTGCCCTCCAATGTCTGAAGGTGGCTCTAGGCCTGCGCCCTCCAACTAGTTTGTTATTTTTGTGAATTGCTTGGCGTGCTTTGGCAAACAATTGTCTTTTTTTTTGGTTTTTTTGTTACATAAAAAGTAACATAGTTATTTTTTCTTTTACCAAAAGACTTTATTGACCATATTAAAGGAAACATTCGAACTATACATTGTTCTTTCTTCATCATTTCTGCCATCTTGGGCCAAGTTCGCACCTGTGCAACAGTGCAGACCGCGATTTGCGTGGGCACAAGAGCTCATTCGCTTGAATGGACTCCTGTGCACCCAAGGCATGCAGGGAAGGAGTCCCTGAACTTCAAAAATCGCAGTCCGCATGGGCACTGAGTTCCCAGTACAGTTGCCATTTCCAGTGCAGGCGGCGTGCCATTAGAATTAAGGGCACCTGACTGTAGGTCCCGCATTCCTCTGTGTGGGTGGTGCGGCTGCAGGTATTGGTGCGGTCCCCCATTCCTCTGTGTGGGTGGTGCGGCTGCAGGTATTGGTGCGGTCCCCCATTCCTCTGTGTGGGTGGTGCGGCTGCAGGTATTGGTGCGGTCCCCCATTCCTCTGTGTGGGTGGTGCGGCTGCAGGTATTGGTGCGGTCCCCCATTCCTCTGTGTGGGTGGTGCGGCTGCAGGTATTGGTGCGGTCCCCCATTCCTCTGTGTGGGTGGTGTGGCTGCAGGTATTGGTGTGGTCCCCCATTCCTCTGTGTGGGTGGTGCGGCTGCAGGTATTGGTGTGGTCCCCCATTCCTCTGTGTGGGTGGTGCGGCTGCAGGTATTGGTGCGGTCCCCCATTCCTCTGTGTGGGTGGTGCGGCTGCAGGTATTGGTGTGGTCCCCCATTCCTCTGTGTGGCTGGTGCGGCTGCAGGTATTGGTGCGGTCCCCCATTCCTCTGTGTGGGTGGTACGGCTGCAGGTATTGGTGGGGTCCCCCATTCCTCTGTGTGGGTGGTGCGGCTGCAGGTATTGGTGTGGTCCCCCATTCCTCTGTGTGGGTGGTGCGGCTGCAGGCATTGGTGCGGTCCCCCATTCCTCTGTGTGGGTGGTGTGGCTGCAGGTATTGGTGCGGTCCCCCATTCCTCTGTGTGGGTGGTGTGGCTGCAGGTATTGGTGCGGTCCCCCATTCCTCGGTGTGGGTGGTGCGGCTGCAGGTATTGGTGCGGGTCCCCCATTCCTCTGTGTGGGTGGTGCGGCTGCAGGTATTGGTGCGGTCCCCCATTCCTCTGTGTGGGTGGTGCGGCTGCAGGTATTGGTGCGGGTCCCCCATTCCTCTGTGTGGGTGGTGCGGTTGCAGGTATTGGTGCGGTCCCCCATTCCTCTGTGTGGGTGGTGCGGCTGCAGGTATTGGTGCGGTCCCCCATTCCTCTGTGTGGGTGGTGCGGCTGCAGGTATTGGTGCGGTCCCCCATTCCTCGGTGTGGGTGGTGCGGCTGCAGGTATTGGTGCGGTCCCCCATTCCTCTGTGTGGGTGGTGTGGCTGCAGGTATTGGTGCGGTCCCCCATTCCTCTGTGTGGGTGGTGCGGCTGCAGGTATTGGTGCGGGTCCCCCATTCCTCGGTGTGGGTGGTGCGGCTGCAGGTATTTGTATGGGTCCGGCAGAAGCCCTGCCCACACAGATGTGAACCGAGCCTCAGTGCTGGTGATTTCCTCCAACTGTTTCCAGTCACTTCCTGTCCGCATGCACTGACTGCACATCACCCGTCTGGACTGGTTTACTGACAGCGACAATGGCGGATGGTGACAGCGCAATGTGCGCCATCAAACTACGACTCCGCCACGGTATATACTCAGTCCAGATATATATATTCAGCCATGTCAGGGGCAGACTAACCATTGGGTAACTCGGGCACTACCTGAGGGCCTGGGGTCAGTAGGGGGCCCCATGAGATGTCCCTGGTACCTTTCATAGGCTTTTTTGGGTGTAATTTGAGTGTGGGCGAGGACACGGGGCCCCATGATCCCCTATTGCCCGGGGGCCCCATGAGTTGTCAGTCCGCCCCTGAGCCAGATATATATACTCCGCCACGGTATATACTCGGTCCAGATATATATACTCAGTTCAGTTTTATATATATATAATTATTATTATACAGGATTTATGGCGCCAACAGTGTGCTCAGCGCTGTACAATATAACGGGAGACAATACAGATCAATACAAGAGGGATAGGAGGGCCCTGATCCTGGGAGCTTACACTCTAAGAGGGAGTGGCTGATCCTGGGAGCTTACAATCTAAGAGGGAGTGGCTGATCCTGGGAGCTTACAATCTAGGAGATATATATACTCAGCCTAAATATATATATATATATATATATATATTTCATGTGACAACACTGAAGAAATGACACGTTGCTACAATGTGACGTAGTCAGTGTACAGTTTGTATAACATGGAAATTTGCTGTCCCCTCAAAATAACTCAACACTCCGCCATTAATGTCTAAACCGCCGGCAACAAAAGTGACTCCGCCCCTAAGTGACAAGGTCCAAATTGGGTCCAATGAGCCATTTTCCCTCCCCGGGGTCATGTGACTCGTTAGTGTTACAAGGTCTCAGGTGTGAATGGGGAGCGGGGGGGGGTTACATTTGGTGTTATCGCTCTCACTCTCTCATACTGGTCACTGGAAGTTCAGCATGGCACCTCATGGCAAAGAACTCTCTGAGTATCTGAAAAAAAAGAATTGTTGCTCTACATAAAGATGGCCGAGGCTATAAGGAGGATTGCTGAGACCCTGAAACTGAGCTGCAGCACGGGGGCCAAGACCATACAGCGGGGTAACAGGACGGGTTCCACTCAGAACAGGCCTCGCCATGGTCCACCAAAGAAGTTGAGTCCACGTGCTCAGCGTCATATCCAGAGGTTGTCTTTGGGAAATAGACGTATGAGTGCTGCCAGCATTGCTGCAGAGGGTGTAGGGGTGGGGGGGTCAGCCTGTCAGTGGTGCCAGCATTGCTGCAGAGGGTGAAGGGGTGGGGGGTCAGCCTGTCAGTGGGGCCAGCATTGCTGCAGAGGGTGTAGGGGGGGGGGTCAGCCTGTCAGTGGTGCCAGCATTGCTGCAGAGGGTGAAGGGGTGGGGGGTCAGCCTGTCAGTGGGGGCCAGCATTGCTGCAGAGGGTGTAGGGGTGGGGGGGTCAGCCTGTCAGTGGTGCCAGTATTGCTGCAGAGGGTGAAGGGGTGGGGGGGGTCAGCCTGTCAGTGCTCAGACCATACGCCGCACACTGCATCACATTGGTCTGCATGGCTGTCGTCCCAGAAGGAAGCCTCTTCTAAAGATGATGACCAAGAAAGTCCGCAAACAGTTTGCTGAAGACAAGCAGACTGAGGACATGGATTACTGGAACCGTCTCCTGTGGTCTGATGACACCAACATCAACTGATTTGGTTCAGATGGTGTCAGGCGTGTGTGGCGGCAACCAGGTGAGGAGTACAAAGACAAGTGTGTCTTGCCTACAGTCAAGCCTGGTGGTGGGAGTGTCATGGTCTGGGGCCCCATGGTGGTGGGAGTGTCATGGTCTGGGGCCCCATGGTGGTGGGAGTGTCATGGTCTGGGGCCCCATGGTGGTGGGAGTGTCATGGTCTGGGGCCCCATGGTGGTGGGAGTGTCATGGTCTGGGGTCCCATGGTGGTGGGAGTTTCATGGTCTGGGGCTCCATGGTGCTGGGGGTGTCATGGTCTGGGGCCCCATGGTGGTGGGGGTGTCATGGTCTGGGGCTGCATGGTGGTGGGAGTGTCATGGTCTGGGGCCCCATGGTGGTGGGAGTGTCACGGTCTGGGGTCCCATGGTGGTGGGAGTGTCACGGTCTGGGGCTGCATGGTGTTGGGGGGTGTCATGGTCTGGGGCCCCACAGTGGTGGGAGTGTCATGGTCTGGGGCCCCATGGTGGTGATAGTGTCATGGTCTGGGGCTGCATGGTGGTGGGAGTGTCATGGTCTGGGGCCCCATGGTGGTGGGAGTGTCATGGTCTGGGGCTCCATGGTGCTGGGGGTGTCATGGTCTGGGGCTCCATGGTGCTGGGGGTGTCATGGTCTGGGGCCCCATGGTGGTGGGAGTGTCATGGTCTGGGGCCCCATGGTGGTGGGAGTGTCACGGTCTGGGGTCCCATGGTGGTGGGAGCGTCACGGTCTGGGGCTGCATGGTGGTGGGAGTGTCATGGTCTGGGGCCCCATGGTGGTGGGAGTGTCATGGTCTGGGGCCCCATGGTGGTGGGGGTGTCATGGTCTGGGGCTGCATGAGTGCTGCCGGCACTGGGGGGCTACAGTTCATTGAGGGAACCAGGAATGCCAACATGTACTGTGACATACTGAAGCAGAGCATGATCCCCTCCCCCCGGAGACTGGGCCGCAGGGCAGTATTCCAACATAACGACCCCAAACACACCTCCAAGACCACCACTGCCTTGCTACAGAAGCTGAGGGTGAAGGTGATGGACTGGCCAAGCATGTCTCCAGACCTAAAGGTCTCTAACATCCACCAGCTCTGTGATGACGTCATGGAGGAGGGGAAGAGGACTCCAGTGGCAACCTGTGAAGCTCTGGTGACCTCCATGCCCAAGAGGGTGAAGGCAGTGCTGGAAAATAATGGCGGCCACACAAAATATTGACACTTTGGGCCCAATTTGGACCTTGTCACTTAGGGGTGGAGTCACTTTTGTTGCCGGCAGTTTAGACATTAATGGCGGTGTGTTGAGTTATTTTGAGGGGACAGCAAATCTCCATGTTATACAAGCTGTACACTGACTACGTCACATTGTAGCAAAGTGTCATTTCTTCAGTGTTGTCACATGAAAAGATATAATACAATATTGACACAAATGTGAGGGGGGGACATTGTATACAGTCCGGGGGAGGGGGGGCTCACTTCTGGGAGAACAGTGGCTAAGTGGTTAGCACTTCCGCCTGGCAGTACTCGGGTCGTTGGTACGAATCCCAACCACAGCACCACCCTGCCTGGAGTTTGCATGTTCTCCCTGTGCCTGCGTGGGTTTCCTCTGGGTACTCCAGTTTCCTCCCACACTCCAAAGACATGCTGGTAGGTTAATTGGCTCCTGTCTACATTGTCCCTAGTATGTGTATGACTGTGAGTTAGGGACCTTAGATTGTACGCTCCTCGGGGGCGGGGACTGATGTGAATGTGCAATATATATGTAAAGCGCGGAGTACATTGATGGTGCCATATAAGTACCTGAAATAAATATATATACATTGTATACAGTCTGGGGGAGGGGGGGGACTCACTTCTGGGAGATATTGATATATATATATTTATACTCAGTCCAGGTATACACCAGGGCTTTATGTTGGGCGTTGCTGGGGTGGTCTGTGCCCTCCCCAGATTTCAGTACTCCCCCCCCCCCCCCCCCCAGCCCAGTGGCATTATTATCAGGGAAGTAGAGGGGCCAGGAGCTGTGCACAGCTGTAATGTGAAAGGGGGGGGGGGCTCTGATGCAATGAGGGTTAACTCTGATATGTAGGGGGATGACTCTGATGTGAAGTGAAATGGAAACTCTAATGTGAAGGGGGGCTCTATAAAGACAAGAGGACTATGATGTGAAGGGGGGGGGGGGGGGGCTTTGATGTAAAGATGGCTGACTCTGATGTGAAGTGAAGTGGAAACTCTAACATGAAGGGGGGCTCTATAGTGACAAGAGGACTCTGATGTGAAGGGGGGTTCTGAGCTGATGGGATGACTGGAACATGAAGGGGAAACTGCTGTTTCCCTGGCTAGATCCGGCCCCGATATATACTCAGTCCAGATATATATATGCCTTCCTGGTGTACATGCAACACCCTTTCCATTGGTGGTCCATGGAAATAAAAGACCCCTTGGCCCGGTGATGGGTGTAGTATTGCCCCCGTACATTGGATGTCAGTAGGAATCTGTCCCCGTACATTGGATGTCAGTAGGAATCTGTCCCCGTACATTGGATGTCAGTAGGAATTGCCCCCGTACATTGGATGTCAGTAGGAATTGCCCCCATACATTGGATGTCAGTAGGAATTGCCCCCGTACATTGGATGTCAGTAGGAATTGCCCCCGTACATTGGATGTCAGTAGGAATTGCCCCCATACATTGGATGTCAGTAGGAATTGCCCCCATACATTGGATGTCAGTAGGAATCTGCCCCCGTACATTGGATGTCAGTAGGAATTGCCCCCCGTACATTGGATGTCAGTAGGAAATTGCCCCCGTACATTGGATGTCAGTAGGAATTGCCCCCATACATTGGATGTCAGTAGGAATTGCCCCCGTACATTGGATGTCAGTAG